GGAGTGTCGCAGATGAAAGTATTGACAAATGATTTAGTAAAATAATCTAAATTTATTAATAACTAACAACTATTTGTCAATACAAAATAACTCAGAAAGAAAAGCGACTTATTCAGGTTCTAAAATTACAGTATTCACTCTTACTTAACAGTACCTTAGTTTATACACATATGTACATGCACATACACAAAACATACATATACATACAGAAACAAAGGGGGTTGGATTCGGTACAATGAACACAAAAGGGACAAACACACAGGAACAAGGGTAAGGGTACATACCCACACAATAAATGGGTGAAATAGAAGGTAGCTCAAAGAAAATTTCCCTCTCGAGTTTAGAGCAAATATTCCCAATGCCTTGGCATTCCTCAACGGGCAATAACTGAGACTCGAGTGGGGGGACTTCGCCCCGGCCTTCCGTCTGGAGCAGACAACACCTGAGAGGCGTCCCAGCTCAGGGGAGATGCTGGTCATAGGCCCGCTGCCATCCAGGAGAGCTCAAAGTGTCTCTCTGGTGGTCTTTGTAGGATCCAAGATAATTAGCCTTTGTCAAATACTATCTGGTGCCTTCCGGCAGCTGCACAAGAATTTGAATAACATGCAGCCTTGTTCTTGTTCCATCCCAGCACATCCCAGGCACAGGTGTGCCAGGCCATCAGGAGATGACGGCCATTATAACCTTTTCCAAGCAATTGGGAGGGGCAGGAGCCAGGCTCCTCAAGGTTATCAGTCCTTATCTCCACAGATGGGTGTATGGCTCGGGGGAACGTGGATGGAATCACACCTGGCACCAAGCAGCCCAACAAGGAGGGCAGGGAGGGGTAAGCATTGCACCACCACATGGAGTTACAGTGTTTTCCAGCTATTTACTAACTTTAAATAAGCCCACAGGCAAGAGGTTTCACTAGAGCACAGGCAGTATGTTTGTGTCACCTACTTCTAGAGGCATCCAAAAAAACCCCAAAAGTAAGTCTGTCACTATCACAACCAATTACTTGTGAGTTGCAAATTTAACATTTATGAAATTTCAGGTAGTTACAGAGATTAATACACTACACAGCAGAACTCAGAACTTGCTGGTTTTATACACAAGAAAAACTAAATCACACAGAAGTTATGATGCCAATATTTTTATTTCCATACAATCACACTCCTATGAAAGCATGTAGTTTAAACTTACAATCAATTCCCCCCCCCCCCCTCACAACTATCAATGTATACCTTGGGACTTTTTTGCAAGATAACACTAAGCAATCTCATTTGGTTTATTTTCAAGTTACTCTGTTACACATTTAATAGAGTATCTGCAGGCTTTGCTTAATAGGATATCCAATTCTCATTACTGCATTTTCACTTCCAGTACCACTCAGCCAGAGGAAAAACACACCTTCAAAGCATTTCTGTGTATGTTGCCTTCCAGCAATGTAACTCAGTCATTGGCAACACTGAAAATACAGAATTAATGGCAACATTCAACTATACAGAATTTTGCTTTAACAGACTAGACCACTGGTCTAAATGCAATATTCTACTTTTCAAAGTATCTGACCTTAGGCTTTAACAAAGAAATAAAATGTGCATGCTCATGATGTAAACAAAGACCCACTTTCTTTTGACCGCTAGATCAGTTAGGCTTCAAAGAAAGAAACCTTCAGTGCAACATCCTCCCATAGCAAAATTCTTACAATGCACAGAACCCCAGAAGGGGAGTGCTGCCGAAGCAGGCTGTGCCCTCAGGTACACATCCAACAGAGTGAAGAAATCCCACGCTTTGAAATTATCATCAGCACACACCTGCTTTATGGGCACAGCATCCTGAAGCGCTAAGGTTTGGACAACAGCCCAAGCCAGAGTTGGCCTGTAGATGAGTCCTGTGTATTTTATAACTGATAACCATTGTACTAACAGGTATTTTACTAAGTGATAACCAACCCCCTATACCAATGTAAAAAGTGGAAGTATTGAAGCCTGAACAACAGGCTCTGAGCCGAAGCTGCTCACTCAGTATGTCATGGTTAGTGAAATACGTTTGGAAGACGTAGCTCTCTTGAATGTATATTTATCTTTGTGTGCGGATAAAATAACCGGGTCGTGGAGACCGTGGTCTGGCCGTGTGGCCTGACGTGAGTCCTTGCACCTAGTACGCCTGGGTAAGCAGAGGAACTCCCTTAGCTTCTCTCCTGAGCCCTGGCCTGGCTCTGGGGGAATCTAATGTGAGATTGAAACCAGATATTTCCGCTCCAAAGCAAGGTGCCAGCTCTTCTGGCTTGCTGATTTTGGGGTATGTAAGGGTGGACCCGCTCACAGCGACTTTGGAGGCCTCAGCTACGGGTGGACGCACCGCGTAGGATTTCCCACTTGCCAGGAAAGGCTCTGCAAACCCTCGCTGTAACCGGGGCTGCCTGCGGGTCTGGGCGATTGCAACGGGTGCAGGTGCTGAGGGATCTTTCTTAATCGCTGTTCCCTCTCTCTCAGGTAGTCAGGATTTGATACGTTACCCTGTTATTTGCCTATTTGTGTGAGTGCACTACTCTGTCTTTTCTTACTGCGTGTTTTCTGTATTCTTCTGTTATTATTTAGCTATTTCTAATAAAATACGCCTGCTCCTTTCACTCTGGTGTCTGAGTTTAATTGGTATCCCTAATCAGCAAAACACATCCCTGCGACAGCTGGTCTTTTTCGTTATCCTACTCCACTAAGCCACCTTGCACAAGTACACATATATTTGGTTGCAAATATACGCTGTAATATCAAGAAAACACTTCGAAAACCTAAATACCAGTTTATGGAAGCAAGCGTCTACATTTTCACCTGAGCTACCAAATATTATTAATACATATGGAAAGGATTAAATGAAAAAACACCACATCCCCCAAGCGCACTCTTCTTGCACACTTCTAAACATGTGGTAGTGTAAAGGGTTAAGGCTTGTTGTGGGAAAAAGACATCTCCTAAGCAATTATAGAGCAACTACTACAGAAAAGCAAATGCCAAAACAGAAACACCTAGGGAAGTTGTTACTGGGAGCCCTTGAAAAGTCCTGCCTCTCTCTATGCATGAACTGAAAAGCTCAAAATTTCAATCCACTCCATATACTGACAGCCAGAGATCCAAAAAGTAGAAAGGAACATGTTAGCAGCCAAAGCTACAGAAATGCTGAACCTCCCTTTTAAGAAGTGTGGGCAATATAATTTGCTAGGGAGCAGAAGCAAATATATTTAAAATTTTTTTTTTTATCAAGGAAAAATAACACACCATTTCCCTGTAGAGCTCAAAATAATCATCACTATAGAGTTTTCCATATAAAGCATAAATTTAACTGAAAGTCTACTAATCCTAGTCTACTTCCTCACCATTCTATTATATTCTGATGTTCCTGCTCATAATCAAGCTTCTTTATTCATGGTGGGACTCTCCTCTGGTTTGTTCAGCAAGTGACAATCCATCACTGAATAATGCACAACTATTCATAACTGAACGTAACAACTGGCAAGAAATACTAGGTCTTGTCAGAATTCTCTGACCACAAGACTGAAATACTTTTCTACCTAACCACAAATACAGCTGGTGTGAAAAAAAATAATTAAAAGAGAAAAAATTGAGGTTGATTAAAACATTTTAGGATAGCAAACAAAGGACAAAACTAAAGGTTCATTTAAAATTTGCTTACAACCATGATCCAACAGATGCACATCTCAGAGTTTAAAGCCAGACTAACAGCAATTTATTCCTAGTTTATTTCACTTTAAAAAGGGTGGGCTTTTTTTCCAAAGCCTCTATTTAAAAAACACACTGTGCTCATAGATGCTGCTCCACAAGTCATTATCCTTGATTTACAACAAGTGAAATATATTCCTACCCTAACAGCCAACATACTTCTACAGTGAGGCTATTAGGGGAATTTTAAAAAACCTTAAAGGTATTTGTGTTAAAAAAATTTCACAGTATGTTTTATGATGTAAAAAATTCTGCTTTTGAATGTATATGAATGTCCATATTTTGAGAATTTGAAAATTCTTTATATATTTAACATTACAGTAGTGAACAAACACCTGAGACAGTTTTTGAAATACTTTATTTGTGTATTGCAAACACATCTGTACATCATGTGCTTTAATGTTTTTAACTTCAGTTTTGTGACAGTAAGGCTGTAATTCATAGGCATAGTTCTTGACATCTCATACGCTTGCCCCAAATAGCCAGTTCTAACAACAACAACAACAAATCAAATCAGGGTGCTGACTGCAACTGCTCAGGCAAGAGCACCCCATGTCAGTGATCCTTGCCTTCAGCTGCTCTCTCTTCCAAACCTTTCCTTTCAGGAGCTACTATCGCTTCACACCTTCCTGTTCTCTGACCAGTCCTTGAATTAACTTCTGTCAGAATTACTAGACTTAAGAGAAACTTAGTAGGAGCATTAAGATAATTCTGATACAGGCAGGTTAAGAAACAGCTACGCAGTTACGACTGAACTGGGGTCAGGGGTCGATAGCCACCAGGCTCAGGAGACCAGCACTGACGGGTGCTGAGCTCTTACACCACCTCAGCTGCCCAAGCCGGCTCACGCCCACAGCCGCACACCAGGATCAGAGCGAGCCTCGCTCACAGCCAGCTCCACGGGGAGAGCGAGCCCTGCTCTGTGACACCGACTCGCCAAAGGGAAACAAGAGCTCTGGGCAGCCCGGCCGCGGCCTTTGCGGAAGCAGCATCAACTGCAAGCCCGGCTTTGGCCCTGGCGCTCTGGGCAGAGCCGAGCTGTCCCCGAACACGACACCCACCTGTGCGCGCACCCAACCGCCGGCCGCCCCGCCAGGGCCAGGGCCGCGGCCGAACCGGGGCGCCGTTCCGCGGAGGGAGCCC